GCTCCTGCGCTATTTTGAGATGACGTGCCCTCTGTCCACAGGAGTGGGCCACATAACACAACAATAACAGAAGGACGATTTCAACCTGGAGTTCATTGCACCTCTGCGTAAGAGAGGCAGAGACGGGGAGAGGGATACAGAAAGTTTGTGCGACAGACCTTAAACAGCGGGGGGCGGGGTGTCGAGGGGGGGGGGGGGGGAGAGGTGGTGAACAAAATAGTGTGCATCAGAGGTTGATTATGGAATCTTTGAATCAGAAGGTCTATTACCCGAGGTCACAGTCATTGCATGCTAGAGAGAGAGAGAGAGAGAGAGAGACGAAGAGATAGAGGGATATATATATATATATATCGTCACAAATAGAACTGCTATGTATATATAGAGAGAGAGAGAGAGAGAGAGAGAGAGAGAGAGAGAGAGAGAGACGGGGAGATGAAGACACTGAACCATGTGCTTCGAACAGTCACTTAACAACACATGGTCTGTTATTTATGACACACAATTGTACAATCNGAGAGAGACGGGGAGATGAAGACACTGAACCATGTGCTTCGAACAGTCACTTAACAACACATGGTCTGTTATTTATGACACACAATTGTACAATCCCTTCTAATGGTCATCTTTGTGCAATTGGTCCTAGAGCGACTGTGTTATGAAAAAACAACAACCGTGGTTGTCCTCAATGCAAGGTTGGGTGGTGCGTGCCACTATCTCTCTCATGCTCACATGTTGCTAAAATTTTGTCACGCAGTGGTGAACCGTGTTTGTTGCAAGGCAGCTTATGATTTAACTGAGCCACATATAGAATGAAACATAACAATCCTACGGACTCGAAAATGATGGTTGGCTACTGCGTGCCACTCTCTCTCAAACACAGCCATGTTGGTAAATTTTTGGCTCGCAGTAGTGAACCGAGCTTGTAGCCTGGCAGCTCAGCATGTAATCGAGGCTCCCTCACGTGTCCATCAGCATAATGAAATACCGCCATCCGGCACCAACAGAAAACAACGGTTGGCTACTGCGTGACACTTTCTCTCTTGCACTGCCATGTTGGTGATTTTGTGTCACGCAGTAGTGAACCCTGCTTGCATCTCTCTCTCTCTCTTGCAATCTCTCTCTATATGCAGTCATTGATGTCATTGCATGTCAGGTCCGCTAGAAGACCTAACGCTTGACATTTGCGAAAGTGCATAGCGTATCGTCCAGCAGAAGAAAAGGACGGGAACAAACCGCGAAAACCCACGACATGAGCCAAAAAAAACGATTTTTCCCCCAATACAGAACGCGGTTTGTACAAAAGGTGAACACGTTTTCAACACGTTTCAACAAGCTTTCAACACAGTTCAACAAGTTTTCAACACGTTTCAACAAGTTTTCAACACGTTTCAACAAGGTGTCAACAACTCTTCAACAACTTTTTAACAAGATTTCTACAATTGTTCAATAGTTGGACCAACATCCTTTCAACAGTTGGACCAACAGATGAACACACCAGTTTCAGTTTTTCTAATATTTGGTCAGCGTTGGTTTCCTTGACTTTTGGTAGAACACATAACCCCCCCCCCGACAAACAGTTTATAAACACAGTTCCAACGGTTGAAATATGGTGTCCACATGTGTTCATCCTGCCTCAAAATTTGCCACAATTTTTCTATTGGCGCTGCCGAAATTTTTGCAAATCCAAAGAGTTAGTCAAATTTATGACTTTTCAAAGTTTAACTTGTCTAAGGTTCGTATATGATTTAGTAAAAATCTGGAAAGTTTCATTTTCTAAAGGGAGTGCTGCCTAGATTTTTGCTAATTCAGGGAGTTGGACAAAATTGGACTTTGGAAAGTCAAAGACTATTTTTGGTTTCATATTCGGACTGATATAAATTATGAAAAGACACTTTTCCTACGGGAAGCGCTGCCAAAATTTTCCTAATTTAGAGGAGATAGATTATATTTTGACAGGTGGCGATTCTGACGATCCACCCTGAATAGGGGAGATTCTGCCATTGGTCTACCTTTGCTTTGGGCACTGCATGAGAATAGACTTAGACTTAGTTAATTAGGATGTTTTGAGTGGAATCGTGATATGGGGATTCTTCTCCATTAACTTATAGATTTAGCCGTGGGTATTGACCAGTCTTGTGTTACAGGTCCTCTTGATCGTGTTGATTCAGGATTTGGACTAGATTCAGCTTGATCCTACGAGGATCATCTTCTGTTATCACTGATAANATCGTGTTGATTCAGGATTTGGACTAGATTCAGCTTGATCCTACGAGGATCATCTTCTGTTATCACTGATAACAGGTTGGTTGCCGATTCGTCGGTTTACGATTCAACTCCAATTCACTCCTGCCACTCAACCTAAAGGCTTTAGCCTTGTGATTGAACTGTTTTGTTGTGTTTTCACCCGGACTTTATTGAATGGCCATCAAACAAAAGTACTGAGTATTTATTTAAGAGTTGCACGAGTGAGGCTTGTATGGCTAAAGCGAGGGGTATGAGTGCAAGGAATGGTTGAAGTTGACCCCGTGTAGTGCGTGGACTTCTCGATGAATCTTTGATGTGATTGCAGGTATGGTTGTGTTTCGGCTTCTTGATGTAACTGCATGCGATTACATACATATATGGTTGAGAGGAGTCTCACTGTGACTGTGAGAAGTGATCGTCCTATATAAATAAGCCTTATGTATATATTTATATGTGCCTTGGGCATGCGCTCAACTTATTATGATCGTGCGCAAGGGTTAGCCAGATTATGGCTCGAGAGAAAAAGAGAGATTATTTTTCATCCTTTGCTTTTTAGAGATTTTTATAGTTGGACGTTATAGTTCGTGGCAGCCGTCAAAGTCAAACCCCTTGATGTTCGACCGCCACAACAGCTTAAAGTTGTCTACTCAACCCCTCCGCACAGGGTGCAGAAGAGGGTGTGGTCTTCAACCGCGCATGGCGGTTGTCCAACGTCGAGAGATTAACCCTCAAGTCGCGTGTCAGCCGACACTTGAGTGTCGAATGCGACCCTCGCGATTAACGGGGACCGCTTGAGTATGGGTACTACATAGTATGTCATCATTGCGACTGCTTGCGTACGCTTGCATTGCGAGTCGATATGAGTTAGCCCTCCGTTCGCGCAGTTTTATACCGGGTCTCGCGCGCGACGCCTATTCGATTTCCGCGTCGGGAAGTTATGGGACAACTACTGAAGGGACTAGGAGTGTTGTCGCGTTGTTCGATGTGTGTGTGTGTGTGTGTGTGTGTGTGTGTGTGTGTGTGTGTTTTATTTTTTGTGTTCGTAAAGTGGTATGCGCGTGGTGTGTGAGATGCGTCCTAGTTGACCGACGACGAGCAGCGCATGGGACTTCAGCCCCCCAAGATGTCGGTTCGTGTGCGGGCCCGATAGGCGTATTACCGCACGTACCCCCTATGCTACAGTGAACGAGAAACGCCCTCCGCTGGTCCACCTCTGCAATTGCAACCGAGTAGCTTTCGTACTGTGGACTGGTAGCTCGGCGGGGATACGCCCACCGAAGGGAGATGGCAGCTCCCGTAAGGTTGTGCCTTGCGTAGGCCCTATCCTGTCGTAGGGGCTCGCGAGAGGTATGGCTGGCGCACTCGGCCGGAGCGGCCTAAGGAAGCTCCATTTGTGTGTTCGCGGCAAGGTTGGTCCAACTCCTGCGTGACGCGGCTGAGAGGGTCCCGCGCTGCCACATGCGGTGCTGGACCGATCCGCCCGACAGGTGACGCCGTTGCCGGGGTTAACGGTTGCCTACCGTTGTCCCTGGTGGAACGACATCCGGGTATGGAATTGTGAGAACTAGGCAAAGCGAGAGGTTTTTGTTGAGCTATTTATGGTTAATCGATTGAAGGTGTTGGATGGACAGCGAGTGAGGATTGATTGTGTGAGTGGGTTCTGGTTCGGTGCAATAAGGGTGGCGCGATAGGGATAAGCTTTGACTATGTGCCCACGTACGTTGACTATGCCCGTACGTACTTCGACTATGCACTTGTGTACTTTGACTAAGTATGACGGTAGTTGGATTGTATACCTCTTCTGACCCCGATAGTTGGTGGGGTTGGGGGATGATTTGCATGTTTGATAGAACTAAGGTAGGATGAGGTGGGGTCAGCCAAGTTAAGTGTGGTGGTTGTGGGAATTGGCCGTGTAAGGTGCCTATTATGGTTAAGGGAAACTACCCGAGTGGTCAAAGGTGCGATACAACACTTGGCTTTATGGCAAGGTAGAGGATAAGTAAAGGAAGCCTATTATGTTAGAAGTCATCAAGGGACCTCGAGAGGAGTTAGGCTAGGGATGTCAAAAGCTTGTACGAGTATGGATTGGGTTCCTTGAGTCTGGGTTTTAAGCAGTCGCTTGGGTTGTATAGCCAGGGAAGTCTGAGGCATGTCCAGTGTGGCATGTTTGGGTTAGGCATATAAGGCAGTGAAGAGACGCAGTGAGCACCGTGGTAAGGCCCCAATAGAAAGGGCTACGGGAAGTAGTAGACTTGCATGACACCTGTTAGAGGAGGGTATCTGGTCCTAGAGGTAGTTAGAGTAACAGTGAGGGAGCTAACGCTTGGACTATTCTACTTACCTGTTAATAGGGCAATGAGTTGTAATTGATATTAGACCCTTGCATGAACCGTTCCAGGCCTGGACCATCCACTTAGGAAGCTAAAGGCTTGGGGTTTTTTGTCTTGAGGATGTTACTTTAAGCTGTATATTGGACTCATCTATGAGTGTCAGACCTGGTAAGCCTAGTCTATGCCTAATTATGTGGAGTTATATGTTTAAGTAGGTACTTTTTTTTAAGAATATTTCACGTGGGTTATTTTATTGGGATTATATTTGGGATCCTATCAGTCTGTAGAAATTTATATGAATGTCCCCAGTCCAGCAGCTGGCCCATGGTTGGCCATTAAGCCTGTGCGGTTGGGTCGCTCTTCCTAGAGGAGCAGGGATTGTCAGCTTAATAACGGAAGACGCGTGCTGAACGTTTGTCTATGATAGGCAGAACCTAGACAAAGGAAAGGCAATTCAGGATGCCTTATACACGGGAATACCCGCGTATGCTAAGGCCAATTGAGAAAGAGGGAGGGCTCGAGGTGTCTTTGCCCAGGCGGGTCAGAGCGGGGGAGTGCCTCTCTTCATGGTGGGGCATGTTGATGGGCACGGACATCTTTGTCTGGATCGAGTCTGGGTTTGATGATGGACGAGAATGTGCGATTGTAAGGGTGACCCTGTACGCCTCAGCTGCCTTTTGGATCGAGCATGGGATAGAGTTGGCGCTCGGGCATTGGAACCTGCTTGCTAAGCCTTTGAGGGTAGCCGAGGCAGCCGCGACAAAGTGGGCGAGGGAAGTGTCCCGTGATGGGGGAGATCGAGTACTAACCCGCGTAAGGGTCGAGCGCACTGAAGAGTTCATGCTTCCATATGCCCCGCTGCGAGTAATCCTGCCTGAGTTTCTGGTAGAGAAGAGTTTTGGTGGGCAGGCGAGGGTAGAGGTGGCAGTTGAAGCTGCTCTGAGGGCGCAAGATTGGGAGTATGGACGATACACATGTGAACTGATATATGGTCTATACCTAGACCTGAGATTCCTGCCCTCTAGTCAGTGGCTCAAGAACACGGCCAATACAATGGACATATACGCCTCGTCTCATGATCCGAATGAGGGAAATGTAGACTGGGAGGAGATTCGGGCAGTAGTGGGCCGATAGGGGATGCCGTCCTTTTCTACTAAATGTGTTTCTTTTGACTTGGTCGGAGTTGTCTCTCTGCCCATTATCGTAGTTATAAAGGTAATCGTCAGGATAACTAGGGGTTGAGGCCTGATCGCGTGAATAAAGGAGTAGATAGCAGGATTTAAGTGTTAGCAGTCTGCCCTTGTCTGCATGAGCTTACTTAAATCATTGTTTGATGGTTTATTGCCCGCTGTGCGTATCAGGCCAATGTCAGCATCATGGTGGGAGAAAGCGGCTTCGCCAAGATCTTGCTTTGGAGGAATTCGTGTTTTTTTAAGGTGTTGCTGCACGAAGTGTTGCAAGCGTCAATGCCCCCAGACCTCCGCGCCCTGTTGTTCCAAGGAAAGAACCTGTCTAGCTTTCTGCGTGACTTTCAGGATTTTAGCCTTATGAAGATGTGGGACGATAAGGCAATGTGGTACATGTTCCCCGTGTTCGTTTGTGAAGGACTAAGTGAGGAGGTTCACACCCTCATGTTGAAGTCGCAAACCTGGGATGAGCTGAAAGCTTCTCTGAGGTTGAGGTTTCCAGAGGATGGGGTGGAATGCAGGCTTGGTAAGGGCCCTGAGCAGCCAGCCGAGGCCGCGTCAACGCAAGGAGAGTTGAGTGGTATACAGAGGCAAGTTGGGATGCTGGAAGAGAAATTGGCGCGGTTGGAGGAAGTCAGGCGTGGCGAGAGGAAGACCTTTGAAGGAGCATCTAACGGACCGGCTGGGCAAGGTGAGGCGAAGGTAAGGGAGGATCATCAGGAGTTACTCCTCCACAAGAAGACCCCGAGAGGGCAAGTTTGCGCCCTAGAAAGAGATGGAAATAAGGGGGTCATTGAGATCAAGGAGGAGCGAGAATCTAGTATGGCCCTACCCGCTATTGCGCCGGAGCCGAAGGGAGGGCCCATTGGCAAAGAGGCACCGTCGGCTGCGGGTCGGGAGAGGCAAAGGAGTAAGTGGTGGCCAGAGCATTGGGCAGAAGTGGTATGTGATCGTTGGGGAAAGATTGGTCGCGCCCCTCAAGGAGGCAAGGAAAAGGAGGTGATGGGTGAAAAAGGGGAGCCTGAACCCCCCAAGTTGACGAAGGCTCAGCGGAAGGCGAGGAATCGGGCCCAGGAAGGTCAGGGTGCCAAAAAAGGGCAGTGCTCATGACAGGTGGGGGCCACACCGCAAGAGGTGGAAGGTAGAGAGGTCCCTGTCGGTTGAGCAGGCGCCATATGGGCAGCGGGAACCATGTGGTCAAGTAGAGCCAAAACCTCTGTATAATCCATATGTGCCCTGGATACAAGGCAGTTGGCTGGGTCCGCAAATGAATATGATGTCACCCAGGCCTCCTGCAATCTAGTTTCAGCCAGCCTTGTGTATGAGACCATTGCAGCCGCCGATACCACAAGGCGCATAAGGCCAAGTGGCCGGTGGAAGGGGTCAAAAGCGAAAGGCTGAAAGGGGTTGTAGGGATGAGGGGCACGAGAAAGGGAAATGGGGTGGCGGCAAGGGTGGCTCTGGTGGGAAGAAAGAGGGTTGGGGAAAGGACGTCTGCAGACATTGTGCCAAGGGCACATAATAAAGTTTTGTCGGGAGCGAAGGGCCGATGAGGCAAGCGGTCTAATAAGGACTGATATTGAGGGAAATATTTTTGACAGGACGGGGGAGTGCATCGACCCAACCATCCCAGGGGGAACACGGAAGGAGGCTTTGCGGCGAGACGGGGCGTCGAGCACTGCCTCATGAACATAGTCGTGAAGAGGAAGCGTTTGTGTGAGAAGGGCCTGGAAAGTTAAGCAGACTGTAAATACAAGCGAGAAATCCCAATCGTATAACTGTTGTAGATAGGCACAGCGTACAGAGGGGAGGGATTTTCGTAATAATGGTCCAGTAAGGTAGCTCGAGTTGTAGGCAGGAGGAACCCCAATAGAATAACTGTATATATGAGGTATGTTAGGTCTGCCTCATATCATGTTATTGAAATATCCCAAGTAGATGGAGCACGGAGTGACCCTGACGGTATCGTTACGGAATAAAGATCTGTTATACTAGGCCTATTGACTAAGAGAGGAAGATATGGGACCTACGTCGTGTCCAGGCCTGAATGGTTGTATTGGTGTGAGTGGTAGGAGAGGCTCGGGAAGAAACCTCAACGTGTGGGAGATAGGCTCTCTAGCCTAGGAAGGCAGTTGTAAGGCTTGTGTATGAATGACTTCTAGTCTTACCTGTCCTAGGATATCTGGATATGTCTTGAATTACTTGGGTCCCTTTGACTCCAGGGGTATGGCTACGTCCAGATCAAAACTGTTTTAGCTTTAGCTTTGGCCAGGGAGACCGCTTTGTTCTTGTGTGATACCGGGGCCGGTTTGAGTCCAAGATGGTTGGACTCTTTGTGTACATATGTAATTCGGGACCATTTGGTTCATGTTTGAGCTGGGGTATTGTACCCCTGTGTATATATTGAGTCGAGATTTTATCTGAGACCAATTTTTGTATATGACGATCACAATCACTCTCACATGTGTGGTTTATCCTGATGTATGATGGCTTTGTGTGAAAGATGTGTGAGATACATCTCATGTGTATTGGGTTGTGTGAAATTTGTGAGGATGAATGGATGTGAACTGTCTACTCTTCAGTATACTCGTGCGGCCTGCCTACAAGCAGGACAGGGTCGGGTATAAGGGGAGGGAGTGCAGTTTGTTGTTGTGAAAGCGTGAGAACCCCAAGTGATTTTTGCGAGTTTTTGAGATTCGAGTACATACCATGCCGGTTGTTTTATGGTTAAATTGTAAAAAGGACCCATAAGCAAGTCCCTTAGTCGAGTTGTTTTGTAGTTAAATTGTGGAGAGGACCCACAAGTAGGCCTCTTGGGTTGAGTTGTTTTGTGATGGAGACCCCTTCAGATTGAGGGAGGTACTAGTAGTGTTGTTTATCGGAAGGCTCATCTCCAGAAGGGAGGCGTTTTAAAAAGGGGTCGTGTGATAGCTCATCCTAGAAAGAGAAGGATGGCTGGGAGACCTATTGAGAGAGACCTCCTTCGTGCGAAAGGTGATTAACAGATCTAAGGGCATGGTAAGCAGTGTTTGAGTTGATAAAGTCTGACGAGAGGAACCAGAATTACAGACTGGATTATTGGTGGAACTGAGAAGGTCGCAAGTCAGTGCATTAAGATGTCGTGGGATGTGTGGACTGCTGTCTCTGATCAAGTCAGTAGGCCACGACCTTGTGTATGAGCCTAGCGGTGAATCTGTTTGTGATTGTGAAAAGGGGCCAGGTTTCCTATGCTGTCCCGTAGGGAACTGGTAAACGCCTTTAAAGTGAGACAGACCCCTGCGTAGTCCCGCAGTGGGTCTGTGGTATGTTTTCCGACCCACCGTTCAGACACTTATGCTAATTCCAAGGCATGTTGAGGAATACCAAGCTAAACGGTAAAGGTTAGCACCTCTAGGGCGCAACCCCTATTGGATGACTGCAAGCCAGCACAACCTGGCTGCGGACCCACGTCTACCAACGGGGTAAGAGTTTGAGGGGTTATGCACGCCCCAGGGAAATTACTCCGGTGGGATGGCGGGGGATGAGAGTCGAGACTTCGGGTAGTCCTGATTGAATGCTTATCAGGAGAAAATCTATCGTTGCATAACCAACGAAGGAACTGCCGTTAAGATAACAATGCGGTAGGCCGTAGATCTGGCTCGATCAACGAGACTATGGTGGGTCAGGATGGAGACCTAGCATTTCTGTATTAGACTGCAGAAAGAGATGAAAGGAGATTAATATATGTATAAATATATGTTTGATTGTGAGGATTTCCGCGAGGGAGGCGAGATTTGCCTTCTGAGGTCTCATTTAAGGCCCGGGTCCCTGGGTATGACTCTGCTTACGAGATAGAGTCTAGCCGGGACACTCAACGAGAAGCCGGCGTTTGTCTAGGACAAAAGGGGAGAGGATGGTTTGAGGTGGCCTTTGGAACTTATGCTGTAGTATTGATGCATAATACGCCTGCGTCCTAGTGTCAGGGTAATGGAGACCTAGGTTAGAACCCTGGCGGCATATAGTTGTGTGAGCACGGTTTGATGGAGGCCTCGAACCTGAGTCTGTCGGCTAATCGGATTGGTTCCTTTCCCGTCAATACTTGGAGTGCGGATGAATTTATAACTTTCCGATTTGGCGAAGCGACGGGGACGTCGCTTAATATGGTCCGGTAAGTTGTCGGTGCGAATACCCTTACAAGGGTATCCACCCTGGTTTTTGCAAGTGACGAAAAATAGTTTGGTTTAGAGTTTAAGTGTTCCGTGCGAGGCGTGGCTGCGTCTATATGGTTACGATGGCCAGATGGTTGACTAAAACAAAGAGTGTGTGGGCGCGTAGGTTTGAGGCACACGTGATTCCGTTTCTATCGTTGGTTATAAAGTCGGCGCGGGCGCCAGACGGTTTGTTTCTATTTGTAATCTTTATTTTTATTTTTGTTTATTCTTGATTAAACTAGGATTTAAGGGTATTTTTCTTTTATTGGTACGTTTGATTAAGTTATGCGTGCGCACGGAGGACGACCTCGACGGTGGCGACAAAGGCGACAGTGTGACTTGCGGTAGGTCTTGGCACGCAGAGTGGCACGAGTGGCGGCCGTGGTACAGCTTGGTAAGTCGGCGCAAACGTCGGGCGGCCGCGCGCACGGCTGTAGGCTGAGATGAGGCTCAGGCCAATTTTCCTGGCCCTTAGCGCAGCATCGTACTGTCTTATATGGCACTCCGCGGATGTTAGTCTCAGGCTTGGGCTTAGCCCTATAAGTTACGGCACTGGGTTGACGATACAAAGGTCCGGGGATCGAGGTCAGCGGGGCGTCGGCGCAACGGCAACAGAGCAGCGTGGAGCGAAGCCTGAGGGGTTGAGGGCCCGACGGGGCTATCCCCCTCAGTTTTATCAGGGGGCACAGCGGCGGGCCCAATCGAGGTGCCAGCAGTCCCGCCGGGTCCCCCGACAATCTGTGTTATTTTGCCTTCTCTATTTTGATTTCACATATTAACTTTTTTTATTTCCTTTTTTTTTTGTTTTCATTATTACCGTTACCGCGGCCCGTTTCGGGATGCAAAGTTGTGGGTGGTGCGGGATCCGGGAGCCTGGCTCAGCGGGCACACCATTGAGTTGTGGAAATGCAGACCTGGGTCTGAGTCCAAATGGTGGAACTGGGGGCTGGTTGTCTCTGCGGGCCTGGCGCGGTCCTTCGGGACATCTGTTAAAATTGGAACGATACAGAGGAGATTGGCGTGGGCCCTCGACCCCTGTAAAGGCTATAAAATGAGGGCGGGCCGACAGCCAGAGTTTCTTGAGAGGCGGGGGTTGTCGGACCACGCGGTGAAAGGTCAAGCGACGGGCGGCAGCAGGCAGTAGGGCCGTGAGCAGGAACGAAGTAGGCAGCAATACTGGGCCGGATGCGTGCGGAGTAGGAAAGCGCAAGGCAACGGGCGACAGCGCAGCAGCCCAACAAACGGAGCACTGCGGGGGACGGACGCAAGACCAGCGCCGTGAGGGAGCAGGCGCTGAGCGACACACAGTGGGGCGACAGATAGCGGAGGCAGAGGCGGATCGGGTGGACCTGGCCCGGATCTTCGCCCGGGTGCAGGCGCGAATGGAGGGCAGAGCGGAGTGTTGTAGGTGAAGCGGAGCTACGGGCAGCAAAGTGAGCAGGGAGGCAGAGCGGGGCAGAGTGAGAGCCGGACACGACAAAAAGATAAAAATAAAAAATAATAATAATAAAAATAAATACGGGATGGAATGAACCCGGGCGCGAATTCGCGCCGGATGCATTCAGCACATGGAGGAATGGAAATGGCAGGGCGATGAGTTGGGCGCAGCCAGATGGCCATGGTTTGCCTGATTCGCACCAGAAACAAGCAAGAAGGGATGTAGACTGGGGGGTTAGTGAGAAAAGAGCTGCGTGGAGATGGCGGGGACGTGAAGAAGAAGGAGGGCGGAGATAGTTTACATCGCCTGTTTCCGGCGGAAATCGAGCGGGGAGACATGCTACACCGAGGGTTTAGGCCCGGGCGACTCACATGGTAAGGTTAGGTTGGGACGAAAGTTAGTAAGGTGGGCGGTAGAAGGAAGATGGGGTGCGCTGGGCTATGCTGGGAGTATGGGAGAAGGGAGAATGGGAAGGGTGTTTCTCCCTCGTTTCTGATTGGCTTTGGGCGAGGGAGAGCTCAAAACAGGGGCTTTCAGCCCT